ATGTCTACTGTGGCCCTGGCTGCCATCATCAATGCGAAGAACTCGACGATCAGCCGCAATGGATTGACCCCGGAGCAGGCTGTCTTCGGGCGGATCTTGAACTTTACGGAGGTGACTAACAGGGACGACGATGAGGTTCTCATGTCGGTCCTCGGCGCCAAGGGCATAGCTTGGCGTTCGTCCCAGATCCGCACCGCAGCAAAGATGATGTTGCTGGAGCGCGACGCGACGGACAAGGTGCGGAGGGCGCTGCTACGACAGGCGCCGACGGTCGTCGGTGATCTGTGCCCAGGATCGAGGGTGTATTTCTGGGCACCGAATCCGTTCAAGGGACGTCGTCGGCAAGATCCTGAAAGATGGCGGGGTCCTGCGACTGTGATCGCGAAGGAATCCAACAGCCGTTACTACGTATCCTGGCGTGGTCACGTGCTACTTGTTGCTCGAGCAGCTCCGGCACGCCTCCTCCCAGGAGGCCGCAGCTGCGGAGTCCGTCCAGACGGACGTGCGACTGACACGGCAGCGAGATGACCGCGCTTACCACGACATCGTGGACGTCACGCCCAAGGTGAAGGTTCAGAAGGTGAAGAAGACGTTCTTGAAGAAGGAGCGTGACCGACATGGGGAGCTCGAGGGGTCCAGGCAGCCTCGCGTGGACCTGAGGGCCCTGGACGCCATTGAGGCACAGGCCAAGGAGGAGGAGCCGCCTGAGCAGCAGCAGCTGCCGCAGCTTCCCCCTCCGAAGAGGGAACGTTCTCGTTCCCCTCCAGGGCGGATATCCTCCGAGGTGTACCCGAAGGCCTCTCCGGGAGCATCGGGCTCTGGCGGCCCTTCGGTGCCGCCGATTCCCAGAGACGATTTCGAGCTTGAGCGAAAGCGGAAGTTCCTGGTAGATGACGTGCCGATTTGCATCAAGAAGACGCGTCTGCAGGCTGCTCCTACGAGTGGTTTGCCGGCCCTCCGCGAAGTGGCCATGAACGCCGTTGTGCACTCGGGGCCTCAGGAGTGGTTCGACCAGAATGCCTTGGATGGTGTCTCCACGCTCGTTCAGAAGGTCGTACGAGGAGTACGTGTACACCGAGAGCCACGGCGGAGACTCTATGATCACGACCGCCACCGGGAGTGCAATCGCCTCTCGGTGATGCTCTCCGCTACGGGCCAGTGTGCCTACAAGGACGACGGCGCGAACCGTACCAACGAGCGCACGGAGGACAGCTGGGTTGGTCTCACGCTTTTCTACCACGACAAGCCGGACGCTCATGCACAAGGGGTGTACTATTTGGACACTCCGGAGGGTCTTGTACGACAGCCGATGACTTACGAAGAATGGATCAACGTGTCATCTGTGTATGACGCATGGCTGCAGGAGGCCCGGTACGAGCACGACGTGTTCGCACTCGTGATGAAGCAGAACGCGAAGGAGCTAGACCCACGTCACTTCAACCAGCACGAGAAGGCTAAGTTCGACGAGGCCGATGCCGCCGAGTGGCGGCAATGGATCGCCAACAACACGGTCGAGTTGGTCACCGAGGAGGAAGAGAAGAGTATCCCGAAGGACAAGATCATCTCGGTGCCCATGCGTTCGGCTCGCACGAACCGGGGGCGAGGGCTGGAGCTGGAGGCGAAGTCTCGCTTGATCATTCCTGGCCATCTCGATCCGCAGCTTGGTCTATTCAGGACGGATTCGCCTACTACTTCCCCTTTGGCTGTGCTGGTGTGTGCGTCTATCACAATGGCGATGGATTGGACATTGGAGTGTTTCGACGTAGCGACTGCGTTCCTGTCCGGGCTGAAGCTGGAACGGGAGCTGTATGTGAGGGCTCCTAAGGACGGGCTTCCAGCCGTCGACGGTGCTGGATGGCCAGCCGTGCGGCCTTATGCGTTGCTGCGCTTGCTGAAAGGGGCGTGCGGTCTGACTGAGGCGCCTCGGTTGTGGTATCTCCGAGCCCGCCAGTTTTGACGGACGAGGTCGGTTTCGTGGAGCTGCGCTGTGCTCGAGCTGTCTTCGTTTATCGAATGAAAGACAAGTTGATCGCTATGTTGACCTCGCACGTCGATGGCGGCATGCTGTTTGGAGACCCACACGATCCCCAGTACCAGGAGGTGAAGGCGAACATCAACAGTCGTTTCAACATCAAGCACTGGAAGAAGGGCAACGACAAGGAGGCAATCGCCTATCTCGGTGAGGAGTGGTGGCGCCACCCTGATCACATCGAGATCAGCATGCACGAGTACATCGGCAAGCTGACGAAGCACCCCCTTGCAAGGGGTGACAACGAGGAGCGGGAGATGACTCCCGAGGAGCACCACGACTACCGGAGCTTGCTCCAGAAGGTGCGGTGGCCTGTCGCCTGCGTGGTGCCACAACTCGCGTATAGTGTCTCGGCGCTCGCACAGAAGGATCCGAAAGGTCGGAGGTTGCTGCACCTGCGAGTGCTCAATGACATCACCGACCGGCTTCAGGACTACGACAAGAGAGGTCTTGCGACTCTCCGGATCCGCCGTGTGGACATCGAGCACCTGCAGGTGCTCACGCTTATGGACGCTTCGTTTGCGAAGGAACCCGGCTGTAGGAGCCAGATGGGGTTTATGAGTATGATTACGGACACCCGAGTTTTGAAGGAGCTAACTGTATGCTGTCTAGTGGAGTTTCAGAGCAGTACTATTACACGAGTTGTTGGATCTACGATGGCCGCAGAATCTGCGGCTATGTCCGTGGCTTTGGATCGGCAGCTTTACCTCAGGCTGCTGATTGAGGCAATCTTGTACGGGGAGCCGCCCTTGCAAGGGGACTGGAGGCTGGCGCTGAAGGTTCCAGGGGCGCTCGTGACGGATGCGAAGTCGCTCTACGATCACACGTCCAAGATCGGGTCGATGCCGGTGTCTCGGCAGACCCTCATTGACTTGCTGGTGGCCAAGGATTTGATAGAGCAGGAGGCCATCAAGTTCAAGTGGCTGCCTAATAGCCACATGCTAGCGGATGTGTTGACAAAAGCCGTGCAGCCTAACGAGGTACTATCGCAGTTCCTCCGCCACGGCCTGTTCAGCATGGTGCCTACTGCTGAGCAAGAGGATGAGGAGGCACACCGTCTGCGGCTGCGCCGCGGACAGCGTGAGCGAGCCAAGGAGCGGAAGGCCCAGCGTCGGGTCGCCGTTCCAGGGCCTGCGAGCCCGTGAGGTCCTGATTGCAGCTGCTGATGGACCTAGTGAGGGCTACGGTGATGTACGCATATCTTTTGAGTTGATCGTCTGGAGTAGTGTATCCAGATATTCATATTCTTGTATTTATATTTTGAGCCTCAGGCCGCACCTTGCTTGAGGTGTCTCATGCATATCTTTTGAGTTGACAGTCTGGATTGGTGAATCTAGACATTCATATTTATATTTCGAGCCTCAGGCCGCATCTGCTTGAGGTGTTTCGGCCCGTGGGCTGATATACATTATAATTGCGTGCAGCGTTGCCCTTTCAGAGGGAGCGGCATCGGGGCAGCATTGTACTCACCCAGTGTGAAGAGTGCACTCCCCTGCCCCTCTGCCGCCCGTGCCACCATGTGTGTATGTTGTACGCGCTTGTCTTGTTTTGTGGCATGCACGCTGCCCGCCGCTGTTTTGGCCCTAGTCCTAGGGCCCTGGGACGCACCCGCAGTTGGACTGCCGCGCGGTCTTTTGCTGAAAACAACTGCACTGACAGATGGTGGTGGTGGTGGTGGTGATGATGATGATGATGGTGATGCTGATGGTGATGATGATGCTGATGATGATGATGATGCTGATGATGATGATGATTATGATTGGGGATTGTAGGAAGATGCTGTAGCGCGACTAGGAAGGGAGGCCATGACGATGGAGGAGGATGAGGAAGAGGGGGGAAGTGGGAGGATGGAGATGCGAGAATGCAGGAGGATAGACCAGGAGGATGTGGAAGATGCGGGAGGTTTCTGGGGGGGATGTGCAGGTGCAGGATGTTGACGACGTCGACGATGACGGCGATGATGATGATGATGATGATGACGATGATGATGATGATGATGATGATGATGATGTTGATGATGCTGTTGATATTGTGATGATGATGATCATGATGGTGATGCTGATGTGGACAACGACGACGGTGATGCTGTTGCTGCTAATGGTGATGATTATGATGGGTTGCAACGATGAGATCGGTGATGATGATGATGATGATGACGACGATGACTATGACGACGATGATGAGTCTGATGATGCTGATAATGATGATGACGATGATGATGGTGTTTATGATGACGATTATGTTGATGCTTCCGATGATGATGGTGGTGATGATGATGATGATGATGAGGACGATGTCGATGTTGATGATGACGGCGATGACCATGACGAAAACGATGGCGAGGACGAAAATGAATAGTAATCATAAGAATGACACTGATGTTGATAACGCTGATGTTGGGGATGAGGACGATACTGATGATGAGAATTATGATTAGCATAAGGACGATTCTGCTGCTGCTGCTGACGACGATGATGATGATGATGATAACAGTGACAATGATTATACTGATAATGATGCTGATGATGACGATGCTGATGACGATGACGATGACGATGATGATGATGATCTGATGCTGATTGATGATGGTGATGATGATGATGATGATGATGTTGATGCTGATGATGCTGATGTTTGTTATGATGATGATGGTGGTGGTGGTGGTAGTGATGGTGGTGGTGGTGATTTCCCTCTAGTGGGCAGCACGCGGTGCACATCTGCCGCATACGAAGAAGGCGATGGTGGTGGTGGTGGTGGTGATGGTGGTGGTGTTGTGGTGGTGATGATGATCGGTGGTGGTGTTTTTGTTGTGACGATAGTAGTGATAGTGTTAGTGTTAGTGATAGTGATAGTGATAGTGACAGTGTCAGTGATAATGATAGTGATAGTGATAGGGCTAGTGGTAGTGCTAGTTACAATCGTGATAGTGATAATGATGATGACTTGAGAAGGACCGCCCCCCGTCAGTCAGGCTGGCGGCCAGGCGGAGCCTGTGGAGGCGGCGACACGGGCAGCACTGGCCCTGGCGACGCCGCAGACTGCGCGTTTGGAGCTCATGTCTCCCCGCGAGCGGATGGGCTACGGCGAACCCCAAGGACGAGCCTGGGGTCGCTCGTCACGACCATCGACCCAGTCCTCACCCCTCCCTCACGGAGTGTGGCGGGGGTCTGATTGATAGGTTCACACGGGTTTGGCTTGGGGTTGTCGCTCCTCGGGCAGAGACCGCGACCAAATCTAGATCCCCTCCTTCTCAGGCTGGAAGTGGCTTGCACTTTCCCTGGGGGGGGAACGGGGGGATCGGGTCTGTAGTCGCACCGAGGGTCTCCACAGGACCGTCGCCAACCCCGCGCTCGCCAGCCGGGCAAAGGTCACCGCCGACGCCGCGCAGCGGGAAGCAGCCCTCTCAGCAAGCACACCAGCCGCCAGAAGCTCCCAGCACGCCGCCCGCCACCAGTAGCAGCGTCGGCCCCCCACTTCCCCCCCCACCCGCAGGGGCGCCAGCGGCGCTCGAAGACAGCCGCCCCCACTGGGCCGCTGTGCCCGTGCGGCTCAGCGGTGCCTGCCCCGAGGTGTTGGTGGGCCCAGCGCCGGAGGCGCCAGCCTCACCCCAGGGCCTGCCCGTGAGGCCTGGCGGCGCCGGCCCCGAGGTGCCGCCGCGGCCGGCGCCAAAGGGCGCTGCCTGCAGCCGCGGCCCCGTGGGCTGGAGCGTGCCGCCCTGCGCGGACGACGAGGCCGCCTCCTGGTTGCCGGGGCCCGGGCTGCCAGCGCGCCCTGCCTGCGAGGCCAGGTGCCCCTTGCGGAGCCCGTGGAGCATCGCCCGGCCGGCGCGGCCGGCGGCCGAGGAGGGCCAGGGCGCCGACGGCGACGATGCCGCGGTGCTCCTCGACGTGCGCGGGCAGAGGCCTGCGGGCTGCCCGCCCGACTCCGCGCTGCCTGCGCTGCTCGCCTCCGGCCCGCACGGGGAGCGGCGGAGGTGCCGCGGGGAGAAGTGCGGCATGGCGCCGCGCGCCTGGGGAGACGCCGCTGGCGCGGCGCCGCTGCGGCTCGGGGCCGCCGCCGAGGCAGAGCCTGTCCCCGCCGAGGGCCCTCCGCCGCCGATGCCCCGCGGGCAGCGGCTGCCCCCGCCGAGCGGTGCGCGGCTGGCCCGCTCGGCGGAGGGCCAGGCGGCCGCTGCCAAAGTGCAGGGGCTGCTGCGCTTCGAGGCGCCGCCCCAGCCTCGGATGCCTCCGGCGCCCGAGCTGAGGTGAGGGAGCGGCCCTGGCGGCAGCTCCGTTCTGGGGCTGGTGCCGCCGCTTTGCCGCGTGCCGCTCGCAAGAAATGCGCACGCGCCCATCGGCCCTCATCAGCAGTCAGCGTGAAGCGTACAGCGGAAGCAGCAGCGCCAAGCACGTAAGGACTGGCGTGAGGATCAGTGGCTCATGTACGCGGCGGCCATTTTGTCTGGAGCGCGGGCGTTCGCGCCTAGCAGGATAACCCCTCAGTCATCCTCTCCCCCTCCCCCACTCCTGCCTTTCCTTTCTCGTTTCCCCGTTCACAATTACGCAATATGAATACTACTATGTAACCTCTCTCTCTCTCTCCCTCTCTCTCTCTCTCTCTCTCCCCCGAATATTTCCGGAGTTTTTCGCCCTCACTCCGCATTTGTTTGTTTTCTGCGGAACAGGATTGGTGCGAAATGGTCTCCATATGTTCTAGTCCAACCATCCTGTGGTGTTGGGTCCTCTTTTTGTTGAGACAGCGCCACGCGTCTCTCCTTCCTCCTTCCTCCTTCCTCCCATCCTTGCCTCTGCCCTTCGCATGTCAACCATGTCGGTAAGCCCCGCACGCGTTTCGCGACCCCACGAGGAGCTCCACCGATGGCCCCAGTGGCCTCGGCCTCATGCGTCCGCGCCACCCAGTATACCGCTTCTTGGCCTCATATGCAGCTCCACCGAAGGCCTCAATGGCCGCGGCCGCATGCCTCCGCGCGACTCAGTACGGTGTTCCGTGGCCCCTTGAGGAATTCCACCGCGGGCCCCAGTGGCCGCAGCCGCATCCGTCCGCGCCATCCAGGAGAGCGTTTCGTGGCCCCATGGGCAGCTCCGCCGACGACCCCAGTGGCCGCGTTCGCATGCGTCCAGCCCCAGTAGAGCGCTTCGCGGCCGCATAGTGAGCTCCACCGGAAAGCCCCAGTGGCCGCGGCGCGCGGTCCAGTGCAGCGTTTCGTGGCCCCATGGGGAGCTCCACCGGCGGCCTCCATGGCCGCGGCCACATGCGTCCGCGCCACCGAGTACAGCACCTCGTGTCCACACAAGGAGCTCCACCGAAGGTCCGAGTCACCGCGGCCGCCTGCGTCCGCGCGGCCAAGTACTGCGTTCCGTTGTCCCGAAAGGAATTCCACCGAAGGCCTGCGTGGCCGCGGCCGCATGCGTCGGCTCCGCCCCATGCAGCGCTTCGTGGCCCCGCTTTGCCGACGGCCCCAGCGGCCGCGGCCGCGTGCGCCGCCCTCCGTCCAGGGCAGCGATTCCTGGCCCCATGGGGGAGCACCCCGGTGGCAGCGGCCGCGTGCGTCTCCCCCACCCACCGGGGAGCTCCACCGAAAGTGGTACCCACAACGCTGGACTCACATTTCATGTGGTTGGGTCTTTCGCCAGGACAATTTTACACACATGGTGCTTTCGCTGAAGCGTGGGCCTCATTTTCAGATCGGCGCTGTGCCCCCGTCGTTCAGACTGGCGCATCCGCCCTAGCGTGGGCCACTTCTGGATCCCGCAGGTCCCGCAGGTCCCACAGGTCTCGCAGGTCTTGCAGGCCCCACAGACCCCACAGGTCGCACAGGACCCACAAGTGTCGTAGGTTGTCCCGCATGTCCCACAGGTACCAAAAGTTCGACAGGTCCCGCAGGTCCACAGAGATGTCGCAGGTCCCACAGGTCCCACAGAGGTCCCACAGAGGTCCCCCAGGTCCCGCAGGTGCCGCCAGGTCCCCAGAGTTCCCACAGGTCCCGCAGGTCCCACAGGTCCCACAGGTTTCACAGGTCCCACAGGTGTTGGCCACAGGCCACAGAGGTCGCCCAGGTCGCACAGGCCCCGCAAGTCTCCCTTTTCCGACTGCGCATAACACGATACGGGGTTTTTAGTGGATTCCCATGTCGGCTATGACACGCGTCCGCGGATAGAGAAAACATCTGCGCAGCGGGAAGGAATGGGAGGGAAGGATATGATGTCAGATATGGCGCGAGCGCACCTAGCTTGCCCCATGCCCCTTTCCCTACATCTCCGCCCCCCCCTCTGCCTCCCCCCCTTCGCCTCCCTCCCGCCTTCGGCGAAGGGGGGCAGGAGTGGGCCGCGTGAGCTTACCAGTGGCCACAGGGTCCATGCAATGGACAGCCTACAGCAGCCGAAGGGGGGTGTGAAACCACGACTGGGCATGCAGAGCGGCCGCAGGAGACGGAGGAGGGGGGGGGAGACCCCTCCGACGCCGCCGCCGCCAGTGCCGCCAGCACCAGACCGCGCAGGCCGCGTTCGGACGACCGGCAGCAGGCGCCTGGCCACCCAGGTCGTGCCCGGGACGCCGGCGGGAGACGCCGCAGTCCCCGGAGCAGCTGCGCAGGCCCCTGCTCGACGTCGCCACCCAGCGGCGTGCGGAGGCCCGCACCGGGCCCGCTCGCCGCCCTCACCTGGCGCCCCGCCTCTCCCTCGCAGTCACCCTGGCTCAGGAGGCCTCTCGTGGGGCGGCCCGCCGGCAGCGCCCATGCGCGGCCGCCGCCGAGCGCGGCTGCTGGCCCCCGCGGTGGCCGCGGCCCTCGTGGGCGCCGATGCGGCGCAGCCCCAGCGGCCCCCGCGGGTCGCCGACGGGGCCACCGACTTCGGCGGAGGGAGCGCCGACGCGCCTGGTCACGGCCAGCCCATGCAGGAGAACGGCCTGCCGCAGCCAGTGGACGTCGTGACGGGAGACGTCACGTGGGAGGAGTTCTGGAGCAGGTACGTGCGGGCCAACCGCCCGGTCGTGCTGAGGGGCCACGCCGCGAGGCAGCGGGCCTTTGGGCTGTGGACCGACGCCTACCTGGCCGAGCGCTGGGGGTCCAGGGCGATAAGTGTAGAGCTGAACAAATCCGAGGAGCGTGGAGGGCCCACGACCAAGATGGCTTTCCGAGACTTCTTGCACAGAATATACGAAGACGAGAACAAAGACAGTTTCTATGCCGTCATCGATTTCGAAAACGACAAGTCCGCCCTCAACGACTTCGACATGCCGGAACCTGTGGACTGCAAGGAGGTTGTCCCCCAGTCGCTCACTCTCTGGATGAGCTCAGGGGGCACCTCGTCGGTCCTGCACGAGGACGATGCGGAGAACTTCCTGATGCTGCTTGCGGGGAGGAAGCACGTCATGCTGGTGCACCAGGACCAGGCGAGGAACATCTACTCGCACATCCCGCGGCAGACCGGCACCTCGCCGGTGCACCAAGACGCCGTGGACTTGGAGGCGTTCCCGCGCTTCGCGAATGTCTCCTGGCTGCGGGGCACCCTGGAGCCAGGCTTAAGTCGGGCCTGTCCCTCTACAGGGGAATAGTCAAAAATAGTGAAACAATTGTTGGGGGACGATCTTTAGATTACTTTGGAAGATTTTGGAGGTATTTTTGGACTATCTTTCCTTTCTGGTCCAAAGTACGCCCGTAGGGGGGTATGCCCGACCCAGAGCCAGGCGACACCCTGTACATTCCCCACACCTACTGGCACCAGGTGTCGGGTGCTGCTAGAAGTGCCCCTGGCCCAAGGTTACCCCCAGGATTCTCGGGGTGGCCCAGACGGCCTCCAGGGCACCCCTCACGAGGCCCAGAGGGCCCCAGGGGCTCAAAGATGGAGCGAAAAGCTGTGGGCGCCTTGGGCCAGGGTCGCAGGCCTATGTATATTGACACCAACACCAGTATCGGCGGTGTTGCATCCACCAGGGGAAGAAGATCCCGATCTCGGTGATGGTGGTAATACTCTGGCTTCCCAGGCGGCCGAAATATTACCACCAACACCGAAATCTATGGTCATCTTCCCCATGTGGAGGCACCCCCCCTTTGTTGGTGTCGGTGCCCATTTCCAGGCCTCCAGCAGGGGCACTTCTAGCAACACCCGAAGGTGGTGTCCTCCGACCGCAACGTGGCGGTGAACCTCTGGTGGGGGCACGAGGCGTCCGGTCAGGGAGTTCCTGGGCCCCTGTGCGCCTCCCTCGCGCTTTCCCTGCCCGCTCTGCCCCTGTGCCTGTCCTTGCCGTCGGGTGCCCTCCTGAACTTCTGTGTGTTTGAGTTCCATCCTGAGTGGTCTCTCCCACCCCCACGCTTCCTTACAACTTTCAGCGACGGATGTCTCGGCTCGAGCAGCGAAGTGTGCACATGCTCTCTGCTCTCTTTTTCGGGGGAGGGAAAGCCCACCCGGGCCGGACCATTGGCGTTTACCGAGCGGCCCCGCCCTGTTCGATTCCTTCTCTGGGCGCGTTTGCTAAACGGCCTCGCTCGTCGGGGTGGTTACTGTGGGGGTGGATTTTTTGCCCTCTACCCTCGCTTCCTGCCCGTCCTGCCCCTTGCCTCGCCTCGATCCCTGTCCTGGCACTGCAGATGCTCTCTGCTCTCTGATGTGCACCTTCTGACGATCAGCGCCCCCCCTTCCCCGAGACACCTTCCTTCAGACCTGGTCGGCCCCTGCTTCATTCTGCTTCGCCCTGCGCAACTCGCCCTCGGTTACCGCACGCCAGCATGTGTCCGCCTTTTGCCCATTTCTGATGTGTCGAGCATTCCGAGGGAGCTGGGCAGCTGAAATAGGGTCAACGTGGACTCCGCCACATGACATGAACGTTGTATCATATCGATCTGTTAGCCAGCGGGGGCCCCAAGTATTAGGTGTTTTATGTGTCTCTACCATTTTATCTGGCACAACTATAATGTGCAATCTATGTGGTGCAATATATGTGGTGCAGTATGTGTGGTTCAAGGTATGTCGTGCAATGCATGCGGGACAGTCTATGTTGTGCAATCAATCACTTTCTCAATTTGAAGCTGTCCTCTCCACTGCTCGTGCACACATCCCACCCTCCCACACGCAACTTGGTCGCAAGACCTCGTAAGACCGTGACGGTGGGTACCAAATGACACTTGGCAACGACACCGACGCCGACGACGATAGCGACAACGACGACGACGCCGCCGACAACGACTACGACGACACCGACGACGTCTCCAACGACTTCGACGACGACGACAACGACGGCGACGACGACGACACCGACGACGACGCCGACGACGACGACGACGATGATGACAACGACGATGACGACAACGCCGACGACGATGGCGACGATGACGACGCCGACGACGACGACGAAGACGACGACGACGAGGGAGGAGGGAGGACGACGACGACGTCGACGACGACGACGACGGCGACGACGAGGACGGCGACGACGAAGACGACGACGACGACGTCGCCAACGAAAACGACGTCGACGAGGGTGGAGGGAGGACGACGACGGCGACGACGACAACGACGAGGGAGGAGGGAAGATGACGACGACGACGACGACGACGGCGACGAAATAGGAGGGACAACGACGAAACGCCGACGAAGACGACGACGGAGGAAGGACGACCACGACGACAACGACGACGGAAACGACGACGACGCCAAGACGACGACGACGACGACAAGGAAAGACAGAGGACGACGAGGGCGACGACGACGACGACGACGAGGGAAGAGGGAGGACGGCGACGACGACGACGACGACGACGACGCAAGAGCGCGCGCGCACGCTTTTGTTGACAATTCGTGTTTCGAAACCTTGTGTTTTTGTATGTTTTTTGGACACGATTCGGGAATCCTTCCGAATCCGAAGGTTTTTGAATAATTTTGACACGCGCGCGCGACAGCGCGCGAATCTGCACTTCATTCCATTTTTTGCAAAGAATTTTCGCGACGGCACGCGCGCAACGGCGTTCGACAGATTTCGACATGCGCGCGTGCGAGGCCCGTTTGGTAGATGTTTTGTTTTAGATAGAAAGCCCAATGGTTGCCGTAACGCAAGAGCGCGCGCGTAAGCTTTTTTAGAACATCATTGTTGCGAAACCATGTGTGTTTGTATGTTTTTGTTTGGAAGCTCGAAATTTTCAATCCTTCCGAAACCGAAGGTTCTTGAATGATTTCGGCATGCGTGTGTACATCGTTTTTTGTTGTTGTTGTTGCTGTTGCTATTGTTGTTGTTGTTGTTGTTCCCCACATCCAAAGTGGGGTTCTTTTTTGTCTGCACACGCCGCACAGGATCTCACGCACCCCCTTTCCTCTCTCTCTCTCTCTCTCACTCACCATCATCGCCATCATCATCACCATCAACCACCATCATCGTCATCACACGCACACACTCATCATCATTACCATCATCATCACCATCAACCACCATCACCGTCATCACTAATCATCATCATCATCATCATCATCATCGTCACCATCATCACCACTCGATCACCCACTCACTCACTCAATTACTCACTCATCCTCAGTAGGCTTCGGAGGCAGTGGTCCTCCGACGGTAGGACCGCCGCCACCCTCAACATCATCGTCACCATCTCCATCATAATCTCTCGATCACCCACTCAGTGGCCATCATCATCATCCTCATCATCATCATCACCCTCATCATCATCATCTCCATCATCATCATCATCATCATCACTCATTCATCACACACTCATCATCGTCATCATCATTCGCTCACTCATCATTTCGTCATCAGGCGGGAGCCTCTGAGTGAATTGCGAGGAAATCTCAGGCGGGAGCCCCCTCCCTATGGGGCCCGCAGATCATGTTACTAATCCGAGCGGGTCATCGGAACCCTGTAACTGCGTCAGTTTTGGGCCTCTGAGGCTTGAGTATGCAGGAAGTATCAGGCGGGAGCCTCGTCTGTGAGTGAATTGCGAGGAAATCTCAGACGGGAGCCCCCTCCCTATGGGGCCCGCAGATCATGTTATTAATCCGAGCGGGTCATCGGAACCTTGTAACTGTCGTCACTTTTGGGCTCTTGAGGCCTGAATATGGAGGAATTATTAGGCGGGAGCCTCGTTTGTGAGTGAATTGCGAGGAAGTCTCAGGCGGGAGCCCCGTCCCTGTGGGGCCCGCAGATCATGTTATTAATCCGAGCGGGTCATCGGAACCCTGTAACTGTCGTCACTTTTGGGCTCTTGAGGCTTGAATATAAAGGAAGTCTCGAGCGGGAGCCTCGTCTGTGAATGAATTGCGAGGAAGTCTCAGGCGGGAACCCCCTCCTTATGGGGCCCGTAGATCATGTTAATAATCCGAGCGGGTCATCGGAACCCTGTAACTGTCGTCACTTTTGGGCCTCTGAGGCTTGAATATGCAGGAAGTATCAGGCGGGAGCCTCGTCTGTTAGTGAAGTGCGAGGAAGTCTCAGGCGGGAGCCCCGTCCCTATGGGGCCCGCAGATCATGTTATTATCGGAACTTTGTAACCGTCGTCACTTTTGGGCTCTTGAGGCCTGACTATGGAAGAAGTATCAGGCGGGAACTTCGTCTCTGAGTGAATGGCGAGGAAGTCTCAGGCTGGAGCGCCCTCCTTATGGGGCCCGCCGATCACGTAATTAATCCGAGCGGGTCATCGGAACCTTGTAACAGTCGTCACTTTTGGGCTCTTGAGGCTTGAGTATGAAGGAAGTCTCGAGCGGGAGCTTCGTCTGTGAGTGAATTGCGAGGAAGTCTCAGGCGGGAGCCCCCTCCCTATGGGGCACGCACTTCATGTTCGAACCCGAGCGGGTCATCCGAGCGAGCTTTTTGGGCTCCTCAGCTCCTGCGGCTTGAACAGGGCATTTACTGGGAGACGCTGGCGAGGTGGATCAACACGCGCGCTCGTCGCGACGCGCGGCGCCTCGGCGTCCCCCTCGTTTTCCTGCAGGCCGTAGACGAGTGCGGCACGAATCAAGGCGACCCAGACGCAGGCCGGCGCCTCCTGAACGTCCCGAACATGCACAAGACGGGAAACATCCACGGCGTCTTACCGGCACACGTCGGCGTGGAGGTCCGGTTCACGGCCGTGCAGGAGGAGCTGAAGAAGAAGTTGGGGCTCGTGCAGGAGCAACGCGAGTTTCACGCAGACGACGAGCGGGACTACGAGGAGTGCGCGCCGGGCCAGCTCTTCCGCCCCCGCTTCCTACCGCAGGGAATCTGGCTGCAGGTGCACGGCTTCCAGGCGTCCCCGATCTACAAGGAGGTCGCCGAGGTGCTGCTGCAGGGCGCCGATGGCGCTGCCGACGACGGCGAGGCCGAAGCGCGGGCGAGGAGCTTGCTCATGTTCAGGCCCAGCGAGCAGGAGCTCACGTGGCAAAGCTCGGGGGCGCACACTGTGCGCCGCTCGGGGTTCACCCTGACGCATGCGTCCTACCTGAACTCCACGCTGTCGCAGGGCCAGACGCTGCGCAAGGGCGTCACCATCGACTGCGCCAGGGATGAGGACGCTGGCCGCACGGGCATGTCGGACGAGATGTGGTGGCTGCACCTCTACGTCATGTTCCCCCGCGCCACGTGCGTGCGGAACATGCTGATCCTGCGGCCGCCCGCGCGAGAGTTCCTGGAGCGCGGGCCGCCGGCGTCGCCGCGGAAGGCGTTCCAGGAGTTCGACGAGAGAGCGGTGGATTCCAGGGCTGAGGCGGAGCAGCTCGCGGCAGAGCTGGGCTTCGTGCTGCCGCCCGCCTGAGCGCCGCGGCGCGCGCCTAGAGGCCCGCGGGGTTGTCCCAGCGGCTGGCCCCCGCGCCCCTGCGGCCTGCGAGGTTGCCCCGACGGCCTGGCCCGAAGGGTTGCCCCGACGGCCTCGCGATCTAGCCGTCGGCAAACGCGCGCGCGCTGGCCGACGCGGCGACGGCGCCGAGGAAAATCGAGTTGCTTGCCACGACCAGGGGGAACGGGAGGTGCACATGGAAAAGATGCAGGAGGATGAGGAGGGAAGGGGCATGGGTGGGGGGCGACGACGAGGAGGAGGTGGCGCGAGAGGAGGAGGGGGGGAGGAGGAGAGGGGGGAGGAGGAGGAGGAGGAGAAGTAGGAAGAGGAATAGGATGAGGAAGAGAGGGCAGTGCAGAGGGCGAGAGGAGAGGGCGCCCGCCAGGGGGAGGAGGAAAGGGCAAAGGGTAAGCTAAACAGATTCTCATGTGGGGTCCTACCGTCGGAGTACTTGTTGTTGTTTTTTCCCCATGTCCTAAGGATTGGGGTTCTTGTTATTACTCTGACGCCTCCCACTCCTCCTCCTCCTTCTTCCTCCCGCTCGCGCCTCCCTCCTCCCAATGATGATCGCCAGATAAGACAAGACAAGATAATATACTACAAGATAAGATAAGATAGCACAAGATATGATAAGGTAAGATAAGATATATGACAAGGTAGGATAATAGATAAGATAAGACAGCCTATGGAGTAATAAGATAAGACAAGATATGATGCGATAAGATGCCAGGGGCATCATTTGGGAGCCCCAAGGGGGAGCCACCCTGGCTGATCTCACGAGCCCGTTCGCGCCGATTTTGGTGGGACGTCTCAGCTAAAATTGCCGTTTGGCCTCCCCAACATGTCTCTCTTGAGAGCCTCATGGTCACAAAACGCTGCCAGGGGCATCATTTGGGAGCCCCAAGGGGGAGCCACCCTGGCTGATCTCACGAGCCCGTTCGCGCCGATTTTGGTGGGACGTCTCAGCTAGAATTGCCGTTTGGCCTCCCCAACATGTATCTCTTGAGAGCCTCATGGTCACAAAACGCTGCCAGGGGCATCATTTGGGAGCCCCAAGGGGGAGC